CTGAGCAATGCTTTGTGACTTCATGCAAAAATGACTCTATGCAAATGTTCTGAAATGTGCCATCTCACTTAGATTTGTGAAGGGTTTTCCTTGGAAATATTTTTTTATTTTGATATGCAGGCGAACGACACGTGCATGTTTCAGAAGTAGTAGCCGACTGCGCTGCACGGGTTTACGGCGAGAAGGTGAGCTTGCTGGATATTTTTTTCAGTTGTTCTTGCCTTCATTTCCTCTTCAATCGAAAGAACGCATCACTTCTAGGAACGATGAAGACGATTGTCTAGTTGCTCCTCTTATAATATCAGAAAGTAGGAATAGCTGAGGATTCAACACCTTGTCCTATGCGTCTTGCATGAACGCAGCCAGACATTTGTTTTCGGGGGGGGGGGGGGGGCGTGGAAGAGAGTTCATTCATATTTTACGTATGTTCGCGCGTGTTTTTCTGTATGTGCGTGTGTATATACGCAGATAAAATTGAAAGATAAAATTGGGGGATTTGAACGCCTTGTGGCTTGTTATTATCAGTAGCATTATACAGTAAAAGCTATCATCATAATCGTCATTATCATTATTATCAGCCTCTTTACGCCCACTTCAGGGCAAAGGCCTCTCCCATATGTTCTGCCAATAAACATGGTCTGCGCTTTTTGCTGCCAGGTTTCACCTGCAAATTTGTTAATCTCATCTACCCATCTAATTTTCTCTTTCCCTCTTATGCGTTTGCCTTCTCTCGTAATCGAGATGGGATTGTTCAAAGTCAACTTAACATAATAATGATTGGGGCATTGCGACAAACCTTAGCTTCCCTGAAGGGGACCACTGCGCAAGCGTGTGCCTCGGTGTCACTAAGATCTGTAGAAAGCCATGGGCAGAGAATATTATGCTGCGTTGAGTGACAAAAATAATCAAGGCATATCTGCGAACTGAATGATGATGAGAGGACGAAGAAGTAGGATCGTTCGGTGTTACCTTATATAGTGTACAGCTACATACAATGTTTATTGGTCACAAATGGTATATTGAGTTGTGAATTTTGTTTTATTAATTTCGTTGTTAGTGCTTTGTGGTATCAGCTCTAGCCTCAAGTGAGCGAAGACCAAGTCTGTAGTTGTTCTTTGTTTCCAGTCATAAGAATTGTTTACGCTTATCGAGACGTCATATACCCTACAAGCCAGTGCTTGGCCTTCAACATCATCGTGATCATCTTCATCGTGATTAGCGTCATCGTCATGAAGTATAGTACGTACCTTGCATGTGCTATGCCGCTATGGCAGAGAGAGTGTGGTCTAGAAAGCGCTTGTTCTCCATCGCTATCGGCAAGGCGCTTCGCATAAAAAACGTAATCTTTACTTGGTGTCACCATGTGTAGTGAGTGACTGGTGTCGCTAATGAACCATTCGCTCAAATTACGAAACATCAGTGCCACTGTGGAATCAAATGAAAACGTCGTATCTGTAGAATTCTGCGTATGCAGGTGTTCGGTCGCAGCATGCACAGTGAACTTTCCGGTGAAATGCATGCAACAGCTTCGGCATAAGAAGACACGAACTATCAGTGTCTTTCCCATTCACTATGTACTCACCGAAATTTGGCTCCAGTGACTTCTATGCCTTCTAACCCTCAAAATAAAAGCCCTGAAAGGTTTCACTTCGATATGCCACGCGGTGCACGACAATCGCACAACCCCAGGAATTTTCCTTTATAGCGAGTAGGGGGTGGGAAATGATACATTAACTATGCTAGATGAAATGTGCTTGCAAACTGACACAGCGTAGAGATAGACAGACACAGAAGTTTTTTTTTAGGTCCTGAGGAACACTACCTCAAGGAGGTAGAGCACCGGGCCGCTCCCACGTCGGAACGGGTAGGCCAAGCCTCGCCACCACGTCGTGGGCTCTTTGAACAGCCCAGAGTTGACGTGCGAGTTCTGAGCTCTTGAACGCAGAGCTCTGTTCCTCTTCGGTCATGTGCCGAGGATCGCGTGTTGAGGGGCACTGCCAGAGCATGTGTTCTAGCGCAGATACGGTGCCACAATCTGGACATGTTGGATCAATACCTTCAATTAACTGGCTGTGGGAATGAAGACTGGAGTACGACCTGGTTTGAAGCATGCGGAGGGTAGATGCCTGGCCCCTACAAATTTGTATATGAGGAAGGGGTAAAATCCTTCTGTCCAGCTGATAATGTTAGGTCACTTCGTTGAAAGTGAGGAGAACATCCCTAAACATCATTACATTGAAGTCTGAAGGTCCCGCAGGCAGCCCAGCACGGTGTGAAAGTTCGCGTGCTCGGGCGTGGGCGAATTCAGCGTAGAGATGGTCTCAAAAAATTAAATGGCGTCATGCTCTGTATAAAACAATTTCGCTGCGATAGGACAAGCATCTTGTCATGGGCCTCCTGTAAGGTCAAATTTCTCCGCACTGAATGGAGTCACCATGATAACGGGAATAGGTTGTCCCCCCAACTACAAAGAAAGTGCATTATTATGCCCGGATGGGCATGTTCATTTCTGGAGGTAACTTTCGAAAGCACTGGGTTGAGATAAAAATATTAGACTAAACACACCTGTTGTACGTGGGTATTCCACGCACAAAAACAACAGACGTTACTAAATTTCTAAATTCACTAATTTCTAATTTCTAATTCACTAAAATTTACTAAATTTCCTCGGCACCACGATCACTAGGTCTGATTATTTCACATACTTCACTTAATTATTGGTGGTTGCTGACCCGCAGGTCGCGGGATCAAATCCCGGCTGTGGCGGCTGCATTTCCGATGGAGGCGGAAACGTACTCATATCTGGGTGTAGTCAGAAATGTGTACTGAGATTTGGGTGCACGTTAAAAGACCCCAGGTGGTCGAAATTTCCGGATCCCTCCACTACGGCGTATATCATAATCATATGGTGGTTTTGGGGAGTTAAACCCGACAAATCAATCAATACTTGTTGATTGCTGAAAAAAGAGAATACCAAAAAAGCAAACAACCTGAAAAAATAAAAAACGGAGGAAAAAAAGAGAGGAGAGACAGATAAGTATGAATAAAAACAAGATATGAAAAAATTACAGAAAATTACAGGAAATTAAAAACTGACTGGAAGAAAAAGACTATAAAATGTATACATATATATATGAAAATCCCCCTCCATCAAGAAAAGAATATTGTAAAGAGAGGGAAATATATTATTTCATATGTCAGGTTTAACGTTCCAAAACCACTATATGATTGTGAGAGACGCCATAATGAAGGGCTTCGGAAATTGCGACCACCTGGAGATTTTCCAAGTGCACCCAAATCTGAGCATACGGGCCTACGGTGTTTTCGCCTTGAGAAAAAATGCAGCCGCCGCAGGCGGCGTTCGATCCCGCGACCTGCGGGTCAGCAGCTGTGTACCTTGCCACCAGACCACCGTGGCAGGGCCAAGAGAAAACAGGAATAATGTTATTGCATAATACGTATATTTATGCATAAATAATGTATATTTAATTGTATGGACATTTTAACGCGTATATGAAGACATATAGAGGTATATATGTGTATATGTATTTGATGTTTATGTAAGCGTATAATTTTATGGAGAGAGTCTCGGGGGTCAGTATGAGAGAGGATAATATATATAATATATATATATATATATATATATATATATATATATATATATATATATATATATATATATATATATAGTACGCCCAAACCAATTGATGCCAGCCCAGACGGTGACAAACAAGAGAGTGAAACGAAACATGGGCCCTGTATCTGCATGTTACACTGCAAATTTCGTCGAAAGACGATAGTCTTGCGTCTGGAGAGAGTGAACAAAGCGTTTATTTGATGTTCTGCGCAATAAAATCGCTGAATGGTATTCTGTAGGCGCTGCGTGAGTGTACCGTGAGCGTTTAGCCGAGGCGAACGAGCGCATGGAATCACGTCACACGTGAGACATCAGCGCTATCTGGCAGTTATCTTGGAAAACGAAGCATGCGGCGTGCGTGCTCGTCTTGGAGGCGATAAGATGTAGAACGCGAGGCGACGGGTGGGTGCCGCCACCGTGTCGTATTAGCAAAGCGTTGAAAACACTTGCCTTTTTGTGCGAGCTTTGCATTGTGAGCGCCGCGTGATAAACGCTACGGTCCTTAGACTTACTTGTTTGTGCCTATTCCAGTAAAACGGCACATATGAAGAATATTGACGTGTTGTTATAGTGCCTCAAATATGCGAAATAATTGCTTTCAAATTGACAATAGTACAAGTATGAACGCTAAATCTTGAGCCATATTGGTGGGTGCGGTGAATCGGTCCACTGTTTGAGGTACCATTAAGGGCGGGCAAACAGAAAAATGTAAAGACAGACAGACAGACCGATAGACCGAACTTTTGGAATCGAAGGTCCCCAAGAGAGACTATCATCTTTAAAAATATAGAAAGAAAGGAGAAGGAAGACGGAGCATTCAGCTTGGAAGATGGAATATTGAAGCCAAGGTGAAGAAAAAAGAGCGAAAAAAATTGCATTTGTAAGTTAAGAATTTGTAATTCATGACTGAGTCCGAATATTTGTCTATTGAGTTAGATAGTTTTGTATAGTATATCACTGAGCCTTCACTGGTTCCCATGGAGGTGGTTGGCTATTGTAGAGGTGCTTTCAACATTGATTTTTCTTGTTTTTGTCTCCTTTTTTCAGAATGAATACTTGACACTTGGTAGTTTTTTTTAATTTGGTAGCCCGCTGTAAATCGGTTACACAGGTTTTATTTTTATTATTTTAAGATTCAATTTTGCCCACCTAATCCTGTCTGTCTAAGATAACTGAAGTTTTTTAATCATTATCGTTCTTTATTGGACTGATCTCCTCATATTCAGAGTGAAGAGTTCCGGTGCCGTGAGCGTCCGAATCACATGATTTTTTTCCCCAATCTTACAGGATGGAAATAGCGTCCATAAAACTTTAATTTCGGGCCATGTTGTTCTCAGTAACGGAATGGCGTACATGGTAACCCGCGGTAAGGCGCGTAGCCACTGCACAATTTCACCGAAAGGCCACGAATTTGTCGTGGTTTGCAAAATAACTCAGTCGATGCCGGAGTGGTCGAGTGGACTGGCAGCACCAGTGGAGGAAACCTGGTTAGTCCACTCTTCGAGCTGCTTTCGGGAGGCAGCACTGCCGCCACACACGACGACCACCAGGGGTCGCGACGGATCAAGCTTTTTCTGGCGGCGCATCTCGGTCGCCCGTTTCGAGTACACTGCGGCGAGCGATGCGCCGCACGCCGGTTCCACCAGCGCGCGGTGGTCATCTGCGTGCATCAAAGTTTTCGAAGATTCGGAAAAGAAGTTACGTTGAGTTGCACGTGCATGCTATACTGGCTAATCACAAATACGAGACCAATGATTCCTACTCCCTATTCTTTATTTTTTATTCGAGAATGACTACTTATTGCCTCTGGACGTTACAGCAAAAAGGCGAGGGGGGGGGGGGGTTACAACCTTGATATACACGATCCTTAATTTTGGCAAGGCACTTGCTCTGTGAGAAGCTTTTTCCTATTCATGCACCATGCATTTCGAAGAGGAAAGGGCTTAGCCAAAACATCTTTGTTCTTAACTCATATCGACATCATTGAATATAATAATAATAATAATAATAATAATAATAATAATAATAATAATAATAATAATAATAATAATAATAATAATAATAATAATAATAATAATAATAATAATAGTAATAATAATAATAATAATAATCTGTATTGTCATCTTGAGTTGTACAAAACAAATAACAGGCCTGTCAAAGCCAGGCGGTGGCTTGGAGGACTTGGCCCAGCACATCGGCAGACGAGAGATGACATACATATTGAAAAGCTTGTCATGTAAACAATCAGAGAAAGAAAACATGTAACTCATTTACGCTACATTTAAACACAATAACAATCAAGAATCAAATTGGTGGAAGCAATACTACCTAAACAGCAGAAATGTGAAGATAAGTATTGTAAAATTTTAAACAGATTTTACCCATAATGCGATAACTGATGCAGCATTAAAGAGACCTTAGGCTCTTTCCCAGACTGCGTTTAGTCGTTGCCGAAAAAACACTGTCGGGGATGTCATTAAAAACAGTAGAGACATAAACCTTTCTAGTAGCTTTGCCATATCGTGTACAGATGGTACAGATATCGTGTACAAAGATATACAGAAAAGCGCGAAGTTTTTCTAAGTATACGAGGGACAATGCATTTGTTTTTGAACTGAGAGCTTCAGAAATGCCGTAATACAACAGTTTTGCTAAAGGACGCTTTGAAAGACGGCAGGCGAAATAGAGAAAATAAATTTACATTGTCTGTGGAAGAACGAATGTACACAATTGATTTCAATATACTTTTTAAAATATTGTCAACCCGATGCTGCCATCGCGAACAGAAAGCTAATAAAGTGATGCCATATCGTAGGATACTATACGCAAGAGCAAGCATGATGGTCCTTTCAATATTGGTGGGTGCAATTGATCTGATACTGAAGAGTAACCACGAGATTTTTCGTAGTCTGTCACAAATGTAAGCCAAAGGATCATTCCAGGACAGGTCGCTATCAAAAAATACACCAAAATATGCTATAGAATCAACATATGCAATGACAGTACACTTACAGGAGGCGCAATCACGGGCGCATTCGTAACCATCGCTTTCAATAGATATTTAAAGCAAATTAATTTCGTTTTTCTGATTAATAACCAGGGAATTATCCATAAACCATGACGCAGCCACATGAACACTGTCTTGTAGCAGTGATAACGCTTTATTGTAACATACATGTTTCGTTTACCGAACGGTGTCATCTGCATACTGAAATACAAGACATTTTGGAACAGCAGCAGTAAAGTCATTTATGAATAAATTAAATAAAAGAGGAGATAAAATGGATCCCTGTGGTACACCAGCTTTAAAGGGAAGCCTATTACTGAAAGGCAACTGATTGTGTAACCGCACTATTTGGGAACGATCAGAAAGATAATTTTAAAAAAGTCGTATAACGGACCCCTAAAGCCAAGCAAATATATTTTTTTTCAAGCAATATAGGGTTGGTTTATTTTTTCAAGCAATATTGAGTGGTTTACTGTGTCAAATGCTTTAGAGATACCAAGAAATAAATCACAGGGAAGCATGTTATGTTCCAAAGCATTATTGAGTTCATTGAAAATTTCTTCAAGTAAATCAATTGTGCCACGACCTGTGACAAAACCAAACTTGAAATGAGCGAAAATTTATCTAGAAATGAAGTCATGCATAGCGAGAAGAATTTCTCAATTATTTGGGATAGGATAGGTAAAACTGAAATGGGTCGGTAACTGTCAACGCTATCTTTTGATCCACCTTTAAATAGTGGTTTTACAATTGCTGTTTTTAAGTCTGATGGAGAGAAGCCTTCTCCAGGAATCCATTAAGCATGAAAAGCTGAATTTCTGACAATGCGTCCAGATTCTGCTGCAGCAAAGATACAGAAATACCGCCAATACCTACCGATTTCTGCCTTTTGAAGCCGGAAACTATTCTAGCGAGGCCGTACATTGTTAAAGTTGGAAGGAAGGCCGAGGCAGGTGTTGATTTCTTTAAACCAGAATGGCCTTTCGCTGCCGAAGAAAGTCCACCAAACATATTTGCGAAGTGGTGATTGAAAAGATCAGCTGTATGCGCAGGGTCCCAAGTAAACGCATCAGTAGGATTACCATCGCTATTTCCTTTCGCTCGAAGATGGTTGATCAGTGATCACATCCGCGCCGGGTTTCTGGCAGATAACTGAAACAGATGATGGAAGTATCATCGTTTTGCGCATAAGATAAGGGCAACCACTTTGTTCCTTGCGATTCTGTCACTGGTACGAAGTTCTGCTTTGCCAGGGGACCGTTGAAATTGTTTCCAAAGCATGTCTCTGTCAGCGATTGCTTCTAAAATATCTGGGGACAGCCAGTTGTGATTACGTCTTTGCTTAGCCCTAGCAATACGAGTACAAGAATGTTGCAGATTACGCATTTCGAGCAAAACCTATCATATACTTTGCCAGGCGAACCTGAAACATTAAGAGAAGACCAATCGAACTCTTTATTTAACGAATCCAGTTTGCGTTGATCAATAACTGACACAGGCATTTCTTTACGCAAGCAGTCCGCTTTCAAGCAGCAAGAGGCGGAATGCGGTGTTTTCGAAGAAAGGCGGCAGAAAGTAAAGTAATGGTCGGCTAGGCGTTGTGCTATTACACAGGAGCTCAAAGTGTGATTCGGCGCCCGTACTGCTATATGGTCCAAACAAGAGCGTTTATTTGACCACTTACGACTTCTTCTCGTGTGGAAGCTGACAGAGATGAAAGATAATCAGACACTTGGATTTTACCTAGACATAAAATATCAATGTTCAGGTCAACCGTGGTGCAAAAAGTTTCTTCACAACTAAAACGCTTCAAGACAGCTCCTAGTTCTAGAATAAAGCGACTGACACAACTATTAGGGGGGCGGTAGATTGCTAACAAAGTAAGATATAAATGAAAGGAACACAACTTTAAAATAAGGACTTCAGCGTGGGTGAAACTAACGTTTATTTCAGAAACAGTATACTTATCTTTCACAAAAACAGCAATGCCACCACCTCTATGAAGCCCTCGAGTTAAGAATTTAGCGGTGAAACCTTTCAGCACAAATAAATGCAGAAATGAATCTTGCACATTAATTTAATGAAGGAATTAATCTGAACATTAATTAATGAAATTAATACAAAAACATCAACGTAAGTGTTTGCATCGTCTGCCAACCTTTTGAACTCCTCCCAGTATTTGCGCGAGCTGCGAATATTTACATTAACCAAAGTAAAATCTGAATCGGAGTTAGGACCGAAGCTGCTCTTAAAGGTATCGAAGTTGACAACTGCAAGTGGAGCAGATGGCATCATATACATTTGGTCTTTTCAATATCACCGTCACTGATTATTCGAATGAGTGAAGCGTCCTCATCCTTCTTGGCAAATATATTATTATTATTATTATTATTATTATTATTATTATTATTATTATTATTATTATTATTACTATTATTATTATTAATATACACGGGTATTTTAGTCCGGAAGGCTTCAAAAACTTGGACCATCGGCTTTTCTTTAACGGACACTGATATCGCACAATACATGGGCCTATACCATTTCGCTTCCACTGAATCGCAACCGTCGATATTTACGCTTGGAAGCATAGACCGGTTTCTTTACATGACATTTCTTATCAAATCTGGTCTCTTATTCTTCTCACAGTGAGTAACTGTGTTTTTCACTGAATAAGAAACGATGTGTACCAGCGACGCACCGTGTTGAATTTTTCATCGCCTGAAGCTTCAACCTTCTTCTGAACGTCTTTTGCAGTGACGCTACATGTATATGGCTAGGCTCTCGCGAATCACAAGGAAGGAGCTGGACATTGAACATCCGTGCGTGTGGCGTCGTGAAATTACTACGCTACCGTTTGTGCACACGTTTAGTCGTAATCTTAAGTGGTTAGATGCCTGAATGTTGTTCGTGCTTTTCCTGTTATATATCTAAGCCTAATAATAATAAAAGTGTATGCCTGTCTTCGGACTTTAGTTGAGCTCAAAGTAAAATGTACTCGAAGATTTCTTTCACTGGGGGCACTCGTGCAGCATATATTTTTTCAGAGCATGAGTCTGTAAAAAGCAAAGTCACGCCGCTGTGTACACAAGGCGACACATTAACCGACCTGATACATGAGCACTGCCTATTCACTGGGCTGTTGCAAGACAACACTAGTAAAATGCCGCAAGAACAGAAAAGTTGCTCTTTGTGCTTTAATGTGGGAGGCAATATATGGACACATCATACCTGTGGTAAGTCTTCTCGACAAGCAACTCTGCGCGATTCTATAGTGGCTATCAGTGTTTCGGAACGGGTGTATCTATTCCATTCCTACTCCGTTCCGGGAAATCATACGTTTCCGCACTAATATCCCTTTCAACTTAGCCCATTCCCACTCTCGGAATGGACAGGCAGCTCAATTCCTTTCCTTTGGTTCCTCAACGTAGAAAAAGTATTTTAATAGTTTTATCAAGTTAACAATGAACGCTTCATGAAGCTGATGCCATCAACCGCATTAAAAACTGCTAAAATTAGCAAAACACGTTACCAAGGTCAAGAGATATTAGCGTCCTTTTATGCTGAAGAAAGAAGTGTTTAAAGAGACTAAGTTTTTTTGCACGCGTATGGAGAGGTGGTGAATATAAAAAAAATTAGGATTAGGTTCTGCT